AGGGAATGTTTTGATACATCTCTAGCAAAAGGAATTCTACACTTGAGTACAGGCACTCTGGCCAATTTCAGTATTTGAAATCAGATGTCAGACAACTCAGCCGCGGTGCCACAATGTGTTAGTGCATGTTACCAGAAATGGCCGAAGATTATTCCTACATTTGTGGGCGAGTGGGAGCACACAAACACACACACAAAAGCCCAGCAGAAAAGAATTTTAAAAATGCAAAGCCAGTGTTAAATATGAATGCTCTCTGAATGGTGTTCAGCAGGAAGGCAAAGAGTCTCACAGAAAACAAGAGTAAAATCTCTTTGCGCTGTTATGAACGACCAATGTTTTTAACATTTTTAAACCCTTTATCTAGCATTAAATGAAATTTAAGCAAATATTCTTCAGTGCTATAATAGCTGGAACAAAACCCATTAGCCAAGCTAAATGAATTCTGCTTCCAGGCATTGTGATACATTATCAGTTACTTCCTTCATCCCAGGGGAAATATTTCACTATAGCTGTCAGTCAATTGCATGAATGCTTCGACTTGTACCAACTGCATCACATATATTGATTTTTGACGAATGACGTCTCTCTTTCTGGGCTATTATGGTTTTGTTTCCAAACCTTATTTAATTGTTTGACTTTTTTTTTCCCCAAGAAAAAAAAGGCAAAATGTTTATTCTCCAAAGGCTGTAAACAGAGATCTCGGGTCTAGTTACTATGACAACCCCACTTGATACAGCAAGCCTAGATTATCTCTAATGACAGACATGAAGTTTAAATTGCATATTCTGAACAAACAGTGCACTGTTGACCTTTTATTGAAAAATGGAATACAGCATGATTAACATAATGTGGCTGATAAAAAAAGTTGTAAAATAACGTGCTTTTATCATTACCTGCAATACTAATCTTTAGCAACCTGTTCATCTGTACATAAAACTCTTAAAAAAATCAATTTCAGTACCATTTTCAAATCTTGGTAGTAATGTAATTTTGCAAAATAGACTTTAAGAAGCACTTGTGGCTCTTGCACTTCCACCTCCATTGTTTCTTTCAACAGGGGAATAAAAATAGATGTGGAAATATAGCTATTTTGGATGAGGATGAGGATTATGATGATGGTTAAGATAAAGAAGAAGAAAGTGTGAAAACTTCTTATGTTTATATCTCTGATGGTTAGAGGAAGTGCAGGTTTTCTTTTTGTCAAGTGCCATCACTTGAAATATGCTTGCTTCAGTAAGATGAGAATTTGCATTGTTATTGTGTCAGCTTCATCCATCAAATCTGTAATGGTGTTTGAGTGATTTATTTCAGAAGTCCCTTTCTGAATCAACTCACTGCTGACAAAGTGGAGATTTTAAGATGGCACTACCAAGAGTTTGTGGAATGAAAATTTCAGAGGTATTCACAATCTGAAATGTGGCCACGAACCACATGCCACCAAGCTAAGTTCCGGAATGCATCTACCATTAAAATGCTTGCCATCTTTTTACCATTGATGTTTCTCATTGTCATACACTCCTAGGTGGAGCACTCCTGTGCCTTTCTTAGCCCATGTGATTTTTTGTAAAAAAAAAATCATCAGAAATAATCGCTTGAGTCAAATCTGTTCTCTCAATAAGGTTTCACCTAGTCCCAGGGTTGCCAGCTGAGATCAGAAGTGGAGAGCTAGAAAAACATACTGAAGTTTATGGCACAGTGGAGAAGGGGGTCTTACTGGGCAACATAGTAGCCTTGGGCAAACAGAGAAAACAGTTGTGGAAATGTCCCATTTTTAGAAGGTCAGAAAGTGCTTTGGTCCATCACCAGCCCCACTATTCAGCTCTCTGACAGTACTAATTCCAACAGAAGCCCTTTCACAGACCTAAAGAAGTTTTCTGTCCCGTACAGTGGTAGTTCAGGTTACAAAAACTTCGGGTTACAGACTCCACTAACCCAGAAGTAGTACCTCAGGTTAAGAAGTTTGCCCCAGGTTGAGAACAGAAATTGTGCGGCGGCAGCAGGAGGCCCCATTAGCTAAAGTGGTACCTCAAGTTAAGAATGGTTTCAGGTTAAGAACGGACCTCAGGAACGAATTAAGTTCATAACCAGAGGTACCACAGTATAAGCAACTCTTCTTCCCTTGTCTCTTAATCAGAAGATAGTATGCTGTTAAACTACACAGCACCTATCATAGTTGCAAATTTTATCAGGTAAATACATTAGCAGATACATTAGCACTCAAAGTTGTGTCTGCAGTGTTTTTTCAGAATGTTAATACATAGAAAAGCTGGCACACACATGAAGGTTTCTATTACACTAATAAGAGCTACGTTGCCTTAAGGGGATAACAAAGCGCTGAAGTGTTTTGATTTTCCTAATTCTGTGGCATACCTTTAATTTCATTCCTTCAGCATTCATAAAACAACAACTGGAAACATTTGTGGCACCTAATGAGATGTCATCTGCATTTTGTTTTCATTTTAATTCCATCAGTGTAACTGCCTAGAGGATGTGGGCTCATGCAATGCCAAATTAAAACACAGCTTCGGGAGAATGGCTAAAGCATTTGGAAACCAACATCATGTTCTGGTCATAGGCTGTGTACACGCTAACCCATTTGTAGCACAAAAGTGTGCAATCCATGAATTGTTCGTGTTCATCCTCAACTTGCTGCTTTCTAGGTCCTGCCATCCACAAATGAAGCATCATCTGTAGAAACTGCTTCACTGCCCTTATACTTTGTTCTGACTTTGATTGTCCCTTTAGCCTGCAGAATTTATTAACCTTGCAACAGGTCTTATTGAACGACAGTGATAACATTTTCTTTCTACACCTGATTGTCTCATTACCATGTGAATGCGTTTTTGTTGTCTCACCAGAAAGACCAGGACAATAGGAAAATTCAACAAGGTTATACCTAGAAACCTAACCTAGAAGCCTAGTTAAGCAAGTTTTTCTCCTTCCAGTAAACTAAAGTGTTGAGAGTCCAAATTCACAACAATAATGACCCCCTTTTTTTTTACACAATATCTTGTCCTTCAGGAAGTCAGACAGCTGATCCTCCTTTGGTTTGAAAAAATGTCTTTGACTCTAGACAAGTGCTCACTTAATTTGCTGTGTGTTTATTCTTAGAGATGTAACTAGGTTTATAAATATCAGAAAGTTAAGACAAGATTTAGTTGCAAGAAATTGAGATCTGTTTTTACCTTGAACGATCAAGACCTATTTAACACTGCCTACACACAACTCAGGTTTTCTGTAAGACTGACAAGCTAATCACAGAACTAATCTAAACAATCAGTGATACCACAGAAGCTGGAGGCTTGTCTAGCCATTACAGAGACTGCCACAATGGCTCATGACAAGGAGTCGCCAATATGATCGCAATTTTCACTACACAGTTGCATACTTCCCATGCCTTTCTCAGAAGAGTTATTCCACTTCTGAGTGTTTTCACAGATTATCACATAGCAAGGCTACTCATGAACAAAGGGTCTGTGAAGAGACAGTCACATTCCCTAAAACAACCCCAGGTTCCACACATAGGTTGGCTGTGCAAATCTGTTTACCGGTCCCTGTACTGATGTGGCCAGCAATACTGGCATAAGGTTTGGAGCACACAATACAATTGTATGACAGGCATGCAGGTGATTCCATCTCAGTCTACAGTGTGTAAAGACAATTGCCACATGGAGCTTGGCTGTCCAGTTTTGATAGTCAAGCTCTTTCTGGCAGGTTCATGGATGAAGTGGAAGCATGGAGAATCCATGGCTGATCCCCACAATTTTGTGGGCATCACTTACCATGGAGAAAACATTTTTGGCAACATTTCCATGACAACTGTAACATGTCTCTGGCCCTTGGCTTTACATTGAGTAAGGAGGTGGGTAATGCAGGGAAGGATTTTGACAGAGAAGTCGGAGGAACATTTATATTTTTGTTATCTGTGGATTTATCAAAGCAATCAAGCAGTCATTCACCACACACACACACAAAGCCCCCTATGGTATCTTCACCCTACATCAGTTATCATCTCAGCTGTTCATCCCAAACCCTAAGGCTTGCTTTGTGCTTCAGATTTTACTCACAAGGGCATGGTCCTTGTATAAGAAATGGAAACGCAAGTCTCCTTTTGGTTACAGGTATTTTGAATGCAGAGAATTCAACCAAACACATTCCTCTGACTATTCATAAATCACAAGATAGTAATAGAAGAAAAACTAGTGGGATCAGGCCCATGGCTCATCAGGTGCAGCATCCTCTTCTCACAGTGGCTGACCAGATTCCTATGGGATGCTTACAAGTGGGACCTGAGAACAACAGCCTCCCCTCCTGCAGTTTCCAGCAGAATATGTGTATCTTCTCAACCCACTGAGTGCAGCAGAAGATGGACCAGACTCCAAGAAGACTGAAATCTTATTCCCTCTATAGATTTAGGAGCACTCCGCTCAATTTTATTATTATCCAGCCTGTGAAAAGCAAAGGAGACACTCCCAAGCTGCCTGGCATGATAAGAATGTCAGGCAAAGGTGTCTGTAAACTTCTGCTGACCCTCGACATCAGCCAGGTCAAGAGCTCTTTCATTAACTCTAATGGTTTGCATATTAGAACTCCACATAAAAGAATCTTATTGACTATCAGGGTCAGGAAGTTCACAAGATGTCTTGGTTGCTTCAACAATGTGTTGGTGATTCTTTCTGACATGAAGCCTTTGCTAATGAAGCACTGTTAGTACGAGGCTTCAGAATCAAGACAACAGTGTGTATGGATTCAGACAGCCCATTATGTAGTCGAACAACCTGGGATTATTTAAATAATTAGAAGTCTCTTCTATTATTTGTGGGAACAACCATAGCGAAATACTAAGCGGAGGAGGCTGGATGGCCACCTATCAGGAATGCTGTAGCTGTAGATGACTTTTTTTAGTTCCTTCCAAATCTCATGACTCTGTAGTTCATCTGGATGGTCAAAAGAGCAAAAGCACATAATTAGATATTTGACTTAACATTAGTGTTACTCACCTACAGACCGACCGGCACACTGCTACAGAAGAGTTTGTGTAGATTTAACTAGTCAGGCAAGACATCCTAGAAGTCACACGAGTTGACAGTGAGTTCAGCATTGTCCCCTGGTTCCCTGCAACAGGGAAAGGTAAATGATTAGAGATGGCAAAAAAAAATCCATTAAACAAATTGCGTAAAGTTTTTAAAAAATGTAGTTGAAAATGCCCGGTTGATATCACAGGAGGGCAGATGCAAGAAACAGGATAACGAGGCAGGACAGATCATCAAGGCTTAGCTGCAGTTCTACTGTAAGCATCCAAACCTGGCTGTCTTTGAACAAAATCTGATCCTCCGATGGGTGCACAGTTTCCAAGGATGTGCAGCAGCTCTGTGCGTACCCTAACATATGAGGCAAATTGGAGTGATTCAGGAAAGGTTCTCTTATTTATGGTGCACCATTAAAGGGGCATCTTGAGGCTGATCAAAAACTCCCTACGATTCTGAGTGGCTCCAGCTCTCTGAAAACATACAATCAGATTTTTTTTGCTTGCAAAACAAAATTTGACTGGGGAATACTCAGACCTGAAGATGGGAGATGGTACACAACGTCTTTCATTTCGACTGACAGATCTAGCTGTTAATCATAGGGAATTATTTCAGCAGGGCACACCATCACAGTGATTTGGGAGAGCATTAACAACTGTGTGTGTTTTTCATTGACCTGTGCCTCTCCCAGCGCAAGTTCAATAAAGAGATCTTCATTGTATCCCCCAATACTAGGGAGGCAAAAGCATTGGGGTAGCGGGGCTCCTGCTGTGGAAGTGGCATTTTCTCCACCCCAACCTTCTCTAAGAATTTCAGCTATTTTCCACCATCGCCCTATGCAAACTTGGTCAACAAATTTCTCCCCGCCAGGGAGAAGAGGCTGTATTCTCCAAAAGCCATGGAGGGGCATAAGCATACCCCCCCCCCATCTATGTCATACATCTTAGACAACTCTGGTAATAAAACCATGATAATAGAAAAGAACTGCAGCCACTGGAAGGAAGAGTGAATGGGAGAATGGGAAGCAGAACAAGAAGCAGCTACCCACCCCGCAAAATATTTTCCTTTCCTGCTGTGGAAAAATTCATTCTTGTTTTTAATTGAAATTGATGTAAAGGGTTGCTAAGGGCTTGTGTCTTGGTTTAATTCCGACTGAACTCAGTCAGGCTTGCTTCTGAGTGTCCTCCAAGGCTGCAAACAGGGGTGGACTTCAGTAATATAATGCTCTCGAGAGGACAAAATTCAGTGGACCCCCCCAGTTTTCTTTCTTACTTATTTTTACAAGAATTCCTTTTGGTACAGTTGCATTCTTAATGGAACTTCTCAGTAGGTACCCATATAAATTGCTTTTGTTTTGTTTTGTTTTGTTTTGTTTTGTTTTGTTTTGTTTTGTTTTGTTTTTGCATGTTGTGTTGTGTTGTGTTGTGTTTGTTCATTTTAGGTTTATTTTTAATTATTTGCACTCCCTCAGTTTGGCATCCTGTGCAGGGGAACTGCCTGCACCACCCTAAATCTGATGCTGCTGTAAACATATATGCACTTACCTGGGAGTAAGTGTAATTGATCTCAGTGGGACTTATATGATTTGAGTAGGTATGCATAGGATTATAGACAATAATCTGCCTTCTCACCCCACTTTTGCTGTGGTGACTAATGTGTAAGTGCCTATTGACTCTTAATGGTGATTGTAACACACAATACAACCAAACCATACGAGTGGAAGATTTTAGCAAGTTACTGGAGCTAAGAAAGGACTAGAATGGTTAGTAGGTTGGCTCAAAGAATCTTGGCACATTAACTATCAAATGAGCTAGTATCCATGCCCACCACTAGCCAGCTTTGTCTCCCAGTCAGAATCTAGATTAATTGCCAACTCTCATTGTTGCAGATGAATCAGCAAGGGATACACTCTGGACATGCTCAGTGGCAGTGTTACTGCTCTTTGTCTTTGTTTGGATTGGAGAGGGAATGTTTTGATACATCTCTAGCAAAAGGAATTCTACACTTGAGTACAGGCACTCTGGCCAATTTCAGTATTTGAAATCAGATGTCAGACAACTCAGCGCGGTGCCACCAATGTGTTAGTGCATGTTACCAGAAATCGCCGAAGATTATTCCTACATTTGTGGGCGAGTGGGAGCACACAAACACACACACAAAAGCCAGCAGAAAAGAATTTTAAAAATGCAAAGCAGTGTTAAATATGAATGCTCTCTGAATGGTGTTCAGCAGGAAGGCAAAGAGTCTCACAGAAACAAGAGTAAAATCTCTTGCGCTGTTATGAACGACCAATGTTTTTAACATTTTTAAACCCTTTATCTAGCATTAAATGAAATTTAAGCAAATATTCTTCAGTGCATAATAGCTGGAACAAACCCATTAGCCAAGCTAAATGAATTCTGCTTCCAGGCATTGTGATACATTATCAGTTACTTCCTTCATCCCAGGGGAAATATTTCACTATAGCTGTCAGTCAATTGCATGAATGCTTCGACTTGTACCAACTGCATCACATATATTGATTTTTGACGAATGACGTCTCTCTTTCTGGGCTATTATGGTTTTGTTTCCAACCTTATTTAATGTTTGACTTTTTTTTTCCCCAAGAAAAAAAGGCAAAATGTTTATTCTCCAAAGGCTGTAACAGAGATCTCGGGTCTAGTTACTATGCAACCCACTTGATACAGCAAGCCTAGATTATCTCTAATGACAGACATGAAGTTTAATTGCATATTCTGAACAAACAGTGCACTGTTGACCTTTTATTGAAAAATGGAATACAGCATGATTAACATAATGTGGCTGATAAAAAAGTTGTAAAATAACGTGCTTTTATCATTACCTGCCATACTAATCTTTAGCAACCTGTTCATCTGTACATAAAACTCTTAAAAAAATCAATTTCAGTACCATTTTCAAATCTTGGTAGTAATGTATTTTGCAAAATAGACTTTAAGAAGCACTTGTGGCTCTTGCACTTCCACCTCCATTGTTTCTTTCAACAGGGGAATAAAATAGATGTGGAAATATAGCTATTTTGGATGAGGGATGAGGATTATGATGATGGTTAAGATAAAGAAGAAGAAAGTGTGAAAACTTCTTATGTTTATATCTCTGATGGTTAGAGGAAGTGCAGGTTTTTTTTGTCAAGTGCCTCACTTGAAATATGCTTGCTTCAGTAAGATGAGAATTTGCATTGTTATTGTGTCAGCTTCATCCATCAAATCTGTAATGGTGTTTGAGTGATTTATTTCAGAAGTCCCTTTCTGAATCAACTCACTGCTGACAAAGGGAGATTTTAAGATGGCACTACAAGAGTTTGTGGAATGAAAATTTCAGAGGTATTCACAATCTGAAATGTGGCCACGAACCACATGCCACCAAGCAAGTTCCGGAATGCATCTACCATTAAAATGCTTGCCATCTTTTTACCATTGATGTTTCTCATTGTCATACACTCCTAGGTGGAGCACTCCTGTGCCTTTCTTAGCCATGTGATTTTTTGTAAAAAAAAAATCATCAGAAATAATCGCTTGAGTCAAATCTGTTCTCTCAATAAGGTTTCACTAGTCCCAGGGTTGCCAGCTGAGATCAGAAGTGGAGAGCTAGAAAACATACTGAAGTTTATGGCACAGGGGAAGGGGTCTTACTGGGCAACAGTAGCCTTGGGCAAACAGAGAAAACAGTTGTGGAAATCCCATTTTTAGAAGGTCAGAAAGTGCTTTGGTCCATCACCAGCCCACTATTCAGCTCTCTGACAGTACTAATTCCAACAGAAGCCCTTTCACAGACCTAAAGAAGTTTTCTGTCCCGTACAGTGGTAGTTCAGGTTACAAAACTTCGGTGTTACAGACTCCACTAACCCAGAAGTAGTACCTCAGGTTAAGAAGTTTGCCCCAGGTTGAGAACAGAAATTGCGGCGGCAGCAGGAGGCCCCATTAGCTAAAGTGGTACCTCAAGTTAAGAATGGTTTCAGGTTAAACGGACCTCAGGAAATTAAGTTCATAACCAGAGGTACCACAGTATAAGAACTCTTCTTCCTTGTCTCTTAATCAGAAGATAGTATGCTGTTAAACTACACAGCACCTAACATAGTTGCAAATTTTATCAGGTAAATACTTAGCAGATACATTAGCACTCAAAGTTGTGTCTGCAGTGTTTTTTCAGAATGTTAATACATAGAAAAGCTGGCACACACATGAAGGTTTCTATTACACTAATAAGAGCTACGTTGCCTTAAGGGATAACAAAGCGCTGAAGTGTTTTGATTTTCCTATCTGTGGCATACCTTTAATTTCATTCCTTCAGCATTCATAAAAACAACTGGAAACATTTGTGGCACCTAATGAGATGTCATCTGCATTTTTTTTCATTTTAATTCCATCAGTGTAACTGCCTAGAGGATGTGGGCTCATGCAATGCCAAATTAAAACACAGCTTCGGGAGAATGGCTAAAGCATTTGGAAACCAACATCATGTTCTGGTCATAGGCTGTGTACACGCTAACCATTTGTAGCACAAGTGTGCAATCCATGAATTGTTCGTGTTCATCCTCAACTTGCTGCTTTCTAGGTCCTGCCATCCACAAATGAAGCATCATCTGTAGAAACTGCTTCACTGCCCTTATACTTTGTTCTGACTTTGATTGTCCCTTTAGCCTGCAGAATTTATTAACCTTGCAACAGGTCTTATTGAACGACAGTGATAACATTTTCTTTCTACACCTGATTGTCTCATTACCATGTGAATGCGTTTTTGTTGTCTCACCAGAAAGACCAGGACAATAGGAAAATTCAACAAGGTTATACCTAGAAACCTAACCTAGAAGCCTAGTTAAGCAAGTTTTTCTCCTTCCAGTAAACTAAAGTGTTGAGAGTCCAAATTCACAACAATAATGACCCCCTTTTTTTTTACACAATATCTTGTCCTTCAGGAAGTCAGCAGCTGATCCTCCTTTGGTTTGAAAAAATGTCTTTGACTCTAGACAAGTGCTCACTTAATTTGCTGTGTGTTTATTCTTAGAGATGTAACTAGGTTTATAAATATCAGAAAGTTAAGACAAGATTTAGTTGCAAGAA